TTTATTGATTTTAGAGAGAAAGGGAGAGGGAAAGAGAGAAACATCAGTGATGACAGGGAATCATTGATCATCTGCCTCCTGCATGACCCCTATTGGGGATCAAGCCCACAACCTGGACATATGCCCTTGGCTGGAATTGAACCTGGGACCCTTCAGTCCGCAGGCCGACGTTCTGAGCCAAATGGTCTAGGGCAGTAGCTAATTATTTATTAAGCACTTACTATATGCAAGACATTGTGCTAAGTGATTTACACGAATGATTTCATTTAGTCTGCACAACAATTTATGTCATATGTACTATTATCATCATCCTCTTTTATAAATAGGTATAAACCAAAACTTACAGAATTAAACAAATTCATTATATTCATACAGCTAGTAAGCAGAAGAGTAAGGATTAGATATCAGATGGTCTAACTCCAGAACCATATACTATGAGAATTAAATTATATAAATGCATTATATAAAGTGCTTTTAACAGTATCTGACACATGTATGCTCAATAAATGTTACTATGTTATTATAATTACTATTACATGGATTCTCAATCCTATACCTCTAAACAGAGCAATGTCTCGGATTCAGTACTTACTAGTATATACCCAGTTTTGAGTAATTTTTTAAATTATACTTTTATTGATTTCAGAGAGGAAGGGAAAAGGAAAGAGAGATAGAAACATCAGTGATGAGAGAAAATCATTGATCAAATGCCTCCTGCACACTCCACAATGGGTATCGAGCCTGCAACCCAGGCATGTGCCCTAACCAGAAATTAAACCATGACCTCCTGGTTCATAGGTCGATGCTCAACCACTGACCCACACCGGCCAGGCTTGAGTAATTTAATAAAACAAAAAATGTTTTTTTTTAATATATAATATTTACAAGAGTTCTATTTGCCAAAAATTCGTTTCCTAATCAAAACTCTTAAAAACCAAATTTAACATCTAATTCGTGGTTTATTTTATAAATTCATGACAAGATCCCTTACTAATTTTCCAAGTACAAGGAAAACCTAGATTTTGGAATTGATCAGCAAATTTTTAAAGTTACGTATACAATAAACAACAACTTCTTTCACATTATTTTAAGGATGTTATCCACATATTTCTCTAATGATTTTAGCTTACCCATCTGGTAAATCGTTATCAAACAAGCGACTGCAGTCCACAACTTGTCCTCCTGTGCCTATCCGGTCTCTGGACTGAAGACTTACTATTAAACAACAGAAGCATTACTAAGAGTCATAGATAATAAAGAATTGTTACAATTTCATAAGACATCTGGCTTAGTTTAATATTTTAGAATGAACTCTTTAGTAATTTATTTTTCCATGAGATTTTTTCCTTTACAAGTGATATTAGAATTTTAAGGTTTCCTACGCTTTATCATGTTCATGGAGAAGAGTCTAATTACTTTTTTCCATTATAATGGGCAATGCAAAGCTACTACTTCATTTAAGAAGAGGCAGAACACATGAACGGTATATTCATGTACAGAAGAATTTGAAAAGATCACATTAATTTCAGTTTAATTCTTGACTCATCTTTTTTAAAAATACACTAAATTCCGGCATTGGGCAATATCTGAATTCCATGAGTTAAAACAGTACATCATCATCCAGTGTAGTATAAAACTATCACTATAAACTTGGCAGCAAGAGATGTGAACTCTAAACCAAGCTATAGCAACTAGTTTAGCTCTGTGACCTTGAACAAAACACTTAAGTTTTTGAGGGTAAAATAATCCCAATCTCAATAATGAGGAAGTTTGGCTAAATAACATGCCTGAAATCCTTGCTGTTTTATTATTCTTTAGAGGCCCGATGCACAAAATTCATGCAAGAGTAGACCTTCCTTCCCCTGGCTGCTGGCACTGGCTTCCCTCACAGCCCAGCTTCATCCAGAAGGACGTCTGGTCTAATTAGTATATTACGCTTTTATTATTATAGATTGTATTTTTGGCAACTCTCTCAAATCTAGAAGGGATACAGGAAAACTTGACTACAGCCCAACTTCTTAAAAGAACACTACATAAAGTATGACAACTTCCGACCCTTCTAGGAAGGGTCTCAAAATTCTGAAATTTTCCAGGTCTGTAAAAATTTTGAAAAATCAGACAGTTCAATGCATTGTTCCATTTACAGGAGACAATACCCTAACACACCTTCTCAGTGAATGCAAATAAGACATTAGTGTTAGAATTGTACTAGAAAACTATATCAGAAAGGCTAAGTGAAATGCTTACCACAATACAATTACGGCAGAAACAAGGTTATTTTCTCATTAGCTTTGTTTAGAATAATATTAAGGATCAAAGCTATAGGATTTTATAAGCTTCAATGTACATCTCCAGAATGCTGTCTTACAAAAGACCTAAGAAATTTTTAGATGATATTCTGATTTTAAGTAGCCCAATTCTAGCAATATATAAAATGAGTCATAGAAAAACTATGTTTATCACAGCACTGCTCATAGTATTAAAACATCAGAAACAACCTAAATGTCCAACAATAAAGACTGGTTAAATTAGTTATTTGTCTTACCACAGACTACCAAACAAAATTTTAAAATGCTATAGAAATGTATCTATGTGCCCTGACTGGGCATCGAACCCATGACCTTCCTATGCATGGGATGTGCTCTAACCAACTGAACCACACCAGCCAGGGCTGCACTTTTATTTAAAAGGTATTTAGAGTTTAGGTCAGCTTAAATGAAGGCAAAAATTCATGTAACTTGATGAGTTTCACACTTACCTACTATCTGTCCTCTAACTGTATCATTGTCATTTGGCCCAAGTTTGCAGAGATCCAACCTCTGATCTATTTCAAATCAACAACAACAAAAAGCAATGAAAAAAGAGGCTGGTATCAGAAATTCTAACATCTATTAAGTGATAGCAAATTTCCACAATCCACTGGAAATCAGGCCTGTCATTTAAAGTAAGCATGTCAAACTCGCGGCCAGCAGGCTGAGTTTGTTGACATGCTTGATTTAAAGAATTAATCATGTTTTAATGATGAAACATGTTTTAAATTTTCTGACTGTATATATAATTAATGTAAATGTCTCAACAAAAGTTTTGATAAATTTAGATTTCAAAAACCATGAGACACTGGTGTGATACTGCCAATATGCAATTACTTTCTCTCCAAAGATTTCAGACCACTTCAGTCTGTCTTGGCTCGACACTTAAATAGTTGTTGTTCTTAACAATTCATCCCTGAGTAACATTCAATAAATGTTAGTGTCATTGTTTTTCTCTCTAACCACTTCAAACGCCCACCCCCCACAACCACCACACACAAAGTAAGTACTAACAAGCAGCCAAGTATTAACTGTAAGATAAGGGTTTGAGTCAGTTCTGCTACTAACTCATGTAGGGGCAACTCATTCTCTCATGTCTCATCTATAATGTTTACCTTTCTATAACTTTAATTTTTTTCAGTTTTATATATCATTTTTACTCACTAATAATTCCCCTTTAACTGCCATCTTAAACACTCCAACTGCCTAAATAAAACTCACTTTATCTCAAAAATCCACCAAAACCAGAGAAGGGTGCTAAGAAATAAAAAAGGCACATATATTCTGACATCTTTCTTATTACTCTCTGGAGAGCAATCATTTCTGAACCCTTACATATTCACTGGAAACCTAGCACCAGCTCTGATTCAGTTCTAGGATTCACATATCTAAAATGTTTCGTTGCTTTTTTAAAATAATATCTAATAAATTTAGACCAGGAATTATAACCAGTGTTTCAAACATACACAGAAGTTTTTGAGCTCCTCCCCCAAACATGTATGTATGTGTGTGTATATATGCACATTTTAAAAAGTACTAGTATCTACTCACAACCAGTGTCTTTGAGGCGGTTGATGGCATTGGAAAGAAGACGAACACAACCAAGAAATCCAGCACCTTGTTTTTTATGGATCTTCTTGTGATTCCATACACTGATAGTAACTGAATCAGACTTTCCAATGTACCTAAAAACACAAAATGACTACATGAGTAACTTGGCAATTATAAGTAAGCAGTATAAAATTTTTATTTTGCTTTTGTAGCCTAGAGTCACAAATGTTTCAGAGTATGGCTAGGTAATGTAAAACATGTTTTGAGTTCAATCAATCCACAGTATTGAATTTAAATATTGTTTTTAATCTTAAGAGTAAAAGCTAAAATGAATTGGTTTTTAGATTGCTTTTTAGAGAGAGGAAGGAAAAAAGAGAGAAAAACATTGATGTGTTGCTTTCCGTAAGTGCCCCAACTGGGGATCGAACCCGCAAACTTTTGGTGCATGGAATGATGCTCCAACCAACTGAGCCACACCGGCCAGGGCTAAAAAGAATTTTTAATATATCCTTAATCACATCTGCCACTCTCAGGCTGAGTAACAATTTTTGTTAGTGAAAAAAACTATTTTTAGTAACTGGTGTTAAATAACACCATGAGAGTGTATGGTTATTTCTTTCCAAGAACAAAATCTTGTAAGAACAGCTTTATAGTCACATTTTAAATATATCTCAATGATATGACCTGCTACCTCATAGAGTACTCCGTTCATTCTCAAGGGGCAGTGTCAAGGCTGACAGACCAAAAATCTGACATACCTGTTATGTTTTTAAATGCTGTAGGACAAAAGCTGACTGTAACGCTTTTTCCCTGCTTCTTTCCTGTATGCAGGCCTTGAGAGAGCAGGACTCTTGCAGATTTCACTTCACTGCCTGCAGACAAGCAGAGCAGGGAAAAGCGTTACTACACTTGTCTGTGCATATACCTGAAAGCATGTAAAAGCTCTACCACAGCCAATTGTTCACATGGTGTCATCCCATGCAAAAATATAATAAGATAACATAATTCTATCAGCAGGACCCTAACTGTATTTCAGTGTCTCAAAGAGGTCAAATTTTTGGTCCAGCAACCTTGATCTTAATGTCATTTAATAAAGCAGCAAATTCAGAAAAATTCACCTAATACATTAAAAAACCTAAACCAGTAAGTGAGGACTAAAACTTTTACATGAGGAACATGGAAGCCACATGTGTGCTCCTGGGTCCAGCTGTCTTTAAAGCATGCCCACCCAACCCCCTAACTTTTAATTAAGCAAGCTTCTACATTCTCTTTTTTTTTTAATTAGGCCAATTTGAATTTCATGTCTGTTGCTTGAAATAAAATATCTGAACTAAAGTATCACTCAGTATGAATGTACCGATTTTCAAAAAGACCTAAGAGACCTAACATGACAAGTATCTACCACATGACATGTTGAAATTCTAGAACCAGATCATGTATTAAATAGCAAAATATCCCAAACCAAACATTTTTTTAAAAAATCACATTAAATCAGTTTCCCAACTGGGAAGCTGATTTATAGGAATGCTAAAATACTGATTCCCTCAGGTTTGGAAAACAGCCCACCATAACTGAAGTAGCCTGTTGGGAGGCTAGATGTCAAGGCCCATAGAGACCCTGAGACCACATACTGCAAACAGGGAAGCTTCTGTCAGCCTGTATTCCTGAATGACTGTATGACAGCGTCTCACCTCCCTGACAAATGGACTTTATACATAAAATACACTTCTACTGTATTAAGCCAATGAAAATTTGATGTTGTCTGCTCTAATCAATAGAGAGGACAAGTCATAAAGGGCCTTGTCAGCCACAGTATGAACTCTGGCTCTTACCTGGAAGTTAAAAATGTGAGAGCAGAAATAAGAAGGGAGCAGAGAATTGCATTTTCCCATTAAAAGTCCCACAGTAGTATCATTTGCCATTTTGAAAAAGTACATTTCCTATCCTATATAATAAAAGCCTAATTAATATGCTAAGTGTTCGGTCATCTGTTCAACCAATCAAAGTGTAATATGCTAATGATATGCTAAGGCCGCTCAACCACTCACTATGACATGCACTGACCACCAGGGGGCAGAGAGTCGACCAGTAGATCAGTAGCTAAGATGTGCACTGACTACTAGGGGGAAGACGCTCCAACTGGTAGGTTAGCTTGCTGCGGAGTTCTGGCTGATCGGGACTGAGCGAGACAGACTAGACACACCCTAGAGCCCTCCCACGGTCCCTCCCTGGCTGGCCAACCTCCCACACCCCTCCCCGGCCCCAGTCGTGCACCGGTGGGGTCCCTCAGCTTGGCCTGCAATCTGGGACCCCTCAAGGGATGTCGGGGAGCCAGTTTCGGCCCAATCCTGCAGGCCAGGCTGAGGGACCCCACAGGTGCATGAATTCATGCACCAGGCCTCTAGTATTATTATGATTAAAATAAAATTTAAAGGAAATAAACCATCCATATAGAAGCAAAAAGAATGCCTATAAGTGGACCTCAATTATGATTTCTGGTTTTATACTTATATTGGCCTAAAGTGAATACCTTCATTTAATTGATAAAAGTGGAGGGAGGGGAACTGCTCTATACTGTGTACACATTTTGTTCTTCATAGAGTCATGAAGGTTACTTCATCTTCCAAAACCAGCTATAAATTAACCGAAGTACCTTCTCAGTAGGTTTTATATCCCTTGGTGAAGACCAAATTATACCACAGATCAAACTCAGATCTTTTTTAGTGATTCTTTTCTAAGACTTTATCAAATAATACTGATTTCTATGTTTCATTTCAGATTAATCATTTAAACCTACAGGTCATAATGCTGATTCCACTTTGGATCGAGTGTATTCTTCACAGTATCTGTAGAATGGCATTGCCCAGATCCATCAACCACCACCTTAGCAAATGGGTCTGGAAGTCCTGTGAAAAAGGAGATGATTTTTTTATTAAAAAATATTTGACATGGAAGATAGAATAATTACATGAAGATTATTATTTGCTACAAAGATTACTTCATTCTTTATAAAAGTTTAATGTTTACCTATAAAAGTGATCCATTTTGAAAACTAAGATTGAAGTTAATTCTATGTTAAAAACCAAAAACTACATTTTTTCTTATTCCTATCTAAAAATATTCTCAGCTTTAAACTACCGAGGTCTAGAGGTTACCTCAAATATGGAAGTTTTTATAGATCTTTACTTTTAACCCCAGAAAGAACGCTTAAAACACTCCTGGCTCTTATAGCTTTCCCAAGGTCTCCCTGGGTAGCTTATTTAAAGAAAGAGCTTACTAAAGGTTTTCACACAGGAACATGGGCCACAGAGAAATTAAACTAGCCAAAAAGTTTTACTGAGTAACTTCCATAAGTGTGAGAAATTGAAACAAAAAATCTAATACCCTGCCTTAAAAGAGATTAATATCTAATTGGGGAAATAAGAATGCCACACACACACACACAGCCCTGAGAATAAATGTTTGATTGTACTGATCTGTAATATGATGAATGTTTTACATATGTATTAAATCTCTTAATCCTCACAATAACCCTATGGAGTAAATAATACTATTATCTCTATTTTATCTATAAGGAAACTGAGGCACAAAGGGTAATTAACTAGTCCAAAGTTACAGTAGTAAATGGCAAAGCCAGGGTCTAAAGTTTAGATTCTAAACCCAAACACACACAGTCTGGTTCTTGATTTCATGCTTTTAACTACTATGCTGTACTATACCTCTCTCTTACTATGTGATTCACCAGTCTGTACAAGAGCTTCGAAAAAGAGAACAGTTTGAGTTTGAACAGTAAAGAAAAGCTTTTATTTTCTTTTGAGGAGATGGGGCTCATTTGGGCTTTAAAGAGTAAGTAGGAAGAGCACCAAGGAGAGTATGATAATATCTGAAGGGTTCAGAGGAGTCTAACCAAAGGGTTTGTGCTAAGGTGTGAAAATAAATATGGTTGGGGAAATAAAACTGATCCAAGAGAGGCTTAAAAGTCAGAAAATCCAGGCTCAGAGTGACTGAGGTAGATAGCAGGGAGCCATTTTAGGTTCCCGAGCTGGCTGTGAATACATTTTCATAATTTCTATTAGTGGTATTCAGATGGACTAAGCAGCATAAAGAACACTAAGACGAGTAGACTCTGAACTAGCGAAGTCACATGGAAGGAAATGAAGTGAAGAAAGCTACTCTCAAAGATCTAATATAATTCATAAGAAACTAATGTCAAAAAATGACACTACATTTTTCAGCCCAGACAACACTTTAAATAGTAGCCCTTTTGACCAAAAAACGTTAGGAGAAAGTAAAACTAAATAAATTATTAAAAAGACAAAAATGACGGTTTAGATGTGAGACATATTGGGATGGTATAGATTTCCTATGGACAGCTGAAAATACTTCAACAAAATTTGATAAGTGTTAATAATTGGAGAAACTTTGCACCTAGACATCTATGCTAGTTTCTTTTTAAAGTCATGATACTAACATGCCAAGATTCAAGGTCAGACAGAAATCACCTAGCCAGTTCCAATTCTATGCTTCTGTGATCTGCAACTTCAAAAAAATGAGAGAAGACCTAACCTAAGAGTGTTAAGTATTTAAGAAGAAACTTGGTAAATTAGGGTATCAATTTATTTAACTACTAGAGGTCTGGTACATGAAATTCGTGCACTTGTGGGGGGGGGGCCCTCAGCCCGGCCTGCACCCTCTCACAGTCTGGGACCCCTTGGGGGATGTCCGCCTGCCAGCTTACTAGTAGGCCTGATCCCCCCAGGGATTGGGCCTAAGCTGGCAGTCAGACATCCCTCACACAGTCTGGGGCTCTCGCAGTCCGAGACCCCTCGCTCCTTACCACCTGCCTGCGGAGGCAAAAGAGGCTCCCGCCACCACCGCTGTGCTTGCCAGCCATGAGCCTGGCTCAGGGCTTCTGGCTGAGCGGTGCTGCCTCTGTGGGAGCACACTGACCACCAGGGGGCAGCTTCTGCATTGAGGGTCTGCCCCGATGGTCAGTGTGCATCATAGCGACCAGTCGTTCTGCCGTTCAGTCGATTTGCATATTAGGGTTTTATTATATAGGAAATTGTTCTTGAAGTTTACTGCTGTTCATATTATTTCCATAATGCCTAACAATTTGTAAATGTGTTTAACAGAAAATACTTTTCCCTCTACATTCACTAACATTAAGTATTTTCTCCTGGGAGTAATGTACTCTACCTTGTTCTTTTGATTCTTCAATATAAGCATATAAACATATAAATGTATGATTGTAAGCAAAAACAAACAAAAATCACATTGAGGATTAAGAAAAACAACTTTTTCCACACAAAAACACTAGGTGTGTTATATGTATAACCCATAGACAACAGTGAGGTGATGGCCTGAGGGAAGAGGAAGTGGAGGCTGGGTAGAGATGGGCAAGGGGGAAGGGGAATGGGGACATCTGTAATGGTGTCAACACCTAAAATAAAGTTTTTTAAAAAAGTATGAATGCCTGAATCTCACCTTCCTATTTCTCTCTTCTGTTAAAGAACACAAAATACAAGCTCTATATCCTAACCAAAAAATACTTTTTTCAACTTACCTAATTATATTATTCTACAGAATTTTCACTTGAGAGCCAAGTTAATCTAATGTGGTCAAGAGCTATCAAGTTTGCTGAAGTTACTGAGACCTCTAAGAGTGGTAAATATAAAGTGGGTAAAATATTTTCTGTATTTTTTTAAATTTCTCAATTCTCCCCATCACTCCTGAGTCATATAAAATAGCTAAAGTTCAAGAACTTTTTCACTACACAAATTTACTTAATAAGCTGAAATTAATAATAAAATAAAAATTTCAACTTAAAACTGAGTTACTTATTAGGGAAAAGAAAGCTTTGTTTTTGATTAGGGGAAGAAAAAATAATTCAGCTAACCAATCTTGGTTCTGAGTGACTTCAGTATGGCCCCTATACAACATCTCAACAGAATATGTTACACACAGATATTTTATTTAAATGTTGCATAAAAGAAAAAATAATTTGATGCTAATAGCATTCTTTTAAAAATAAACATAATGGATATATGGATAAAGTTAATAGTAAAATCAAATGGTGAGTTTTCACTGTAAAATTCTTTATATGTTCCCACAGGTTGAGAACCGCTGTCTTAGAGGTTTACAAAGAATTAAAGTAAGATCCCTCTAGATTTCCTAGGAAAACTGAGACATGGCTATCTGGATATTTCATTGGAGAAAGTGTATCTTGGAGCTCTGAAGGAAGGAAAACAATTTGGGGAGGAAGGCTGGAAGACAAAACTGAAGATTTTATCTTTAAAACCAGAGCAGATGTCTTGGGAAGTATGCAGCTGAACATGTGCAGTCCTCACTTCCCCATCCTTTTCTCCTTGTCACCAACCTATCCGATCCTACCTGCCATACTGCAGTCCTACTAGGATAAATCCTACCTCAGAGCAACCTTAAGAAGGGTAAAAAGAGTACACACTGGCCCAGCTGGCGTGGCTCCATGGTTGAGCCTCCACCTATGAACCAGGAGGTCACGGTTAGATTCCCGGTCAGGGCACATGCCCGGGTTATGGGTTTAATCCCCAGTAGGAAACATGCAGGAGGCAACCAATCAATGCTTCTCTCTTATCATTGATGTTCCTATCATCTCTCTCCCTCTCCCTTCTCTCTGAAATCAATAAAAATATATTTTAAAAAAAAGAATACACACTCGTTACTAGGTTATTAAAGATAGGGTTGATTGAGGTGAGTAGTCCAGCACCAGCTGGTGAAGACAATAGTAATTAGTGGTAGCCCAGAGAAAGACCACTGGGTACAAAATTGGGGCATAGGGTACATGGAACATCAACTGGTTATATCTTTCTTCTTAACTATGTCCTATAGCACAGACACCATACAAATTTTAATTATAGAGTTTTATAAGAAGTTATTTTATAAGCTTTAATTCAGATTCTACACTAGGAAGATTGGAAGTAATAAAATTTCAAGTGGAATGAATTAAGTATGATTTAAAAATATATCAAGAGCTTATTATTTCTTTTAACCAAACCCTCAAGAATTATCTAATGTCATATTAAATTAGCACTTACAGCTAGTTTTTGCTGGCTGGTAAATTTTTTTTTAATATATTTTTAATGATTTCAGAGAGGAAGGGAGAGGGAGAGAGACAGAAACATTAATGATGAGAGAGAATTATTGATCGGCTGCCTCCTGCACGACCCCTACTGAGGATCAAGCCTGCAACCCCCGGGCATGTGGCCCTGACCAGAATCGAACCTGGGATCCTTCAGTACACAGGCCGATGCTCGACCCACTGAGCCAAACCAGCTAGGGCTAGGAGATGAATTTAAAAATCTAATAATTCTTTATTTCTAACTTCAAATACTTTACATATAAAATTTTGTTGGCTTAGAGTTTTTAATAAAAATTTTATCATGTTTTACTCAATAAATTAAAGCTACCCACAATCCTCCTTCATAAAACTTAATCCTAAATAAAGCCACAAGAAAATTCACAACAGATCAGCAAAAAGACTGCAAATGCGGGAACCAAATGTCCACTTTGGAGTCTGAGACAAGAGCATCTATGATCAAATGTGACATAGATTTCTTTCCTACAGCCTGGAAACTCTAAGCAAGCTGAATGACTTTGCTACTTTCCAAGAAATCCTGAATGCATGGTTAAAATTTGCTATAAAATGTTAGGGGGGAAAGTGTTCACAAAATAATCTCAAACTTTTTCTAGAAATCTAGTAGCATGAACACCTTTAATATACATTACACACATCTGCATATACACAGCACCACACACACATGCGCGCACGCACACACACATACACATTTCACACAAATATATGGGAGGGGTGACTAAAGGGAAGGGGTTAAACTAAAAAGATCAAAATCCTCCAGAAACAGAAAAAGTGCCCTAGCCGGTTGGCTCAGTAGATAGAGTGTCGGCCTGCAAATTGAAAGGCCCAGGTTCAATTCTGATCAAGGGCACATGCCCGGGTGGTGGGCCTGATCCCCAGTGGGGGGCATGCAGGAGGCAGCTTATCAATGATTCTCATCATTAATGTTTCTATCTCTCTCTTCCTCTCCCTTCCTCTCTAAAATCAATAAAAAAAATATTAAAAAAAAAAACAGAAAAAGTGATGCCAAAAGGCTCTGAACCAAAAAACAACACTGAGTATATTTCTGAATAGAAAAAGTCCTAAGTCAGACAATTCTGAAAATGCAACCCAAAAAATTCACACACAACATACAAGATTTAAAGTTAATTTTACTTACGGAAAAAATCCTTTTTCACCAAGTTTTTTGCACAGAGTACTGTAAAGGAAACAAAAAATACAAAGGAAAATTAAAATAAAATGGTAAGACTGCATTGTCAAAAGTGTCATTTTTAAACACTGAAAACACCACTGAATAATAAACACTAACTACAGCAATGTATGAAATATGATCACAAACTTTCATTAAAAGACTAGCAGAAGACAGTTGAACCAGTGGTTGCATCTTTAGCAATGTAACAGCTGAGGACAAAAAGTTTGTAAATCTGGTATTCTAATAACGACCCAATTCCTATCTTCCACCAAGATCTGTTCTCAGGGTAGCTTGGTGGCAAGAGGGAAAACAGTTCTAAGACAGAAATATGTAAATTCGGGTTGACATATATTTTAGGACAGTGGTTGTCAACTGGTGGTCCGCGGACCACTATTGGTCTGTGAGGTCCACAGGGTTGGCGACCACTGGTTTAGGAGATAATTTTATGCTGAAGAGGATCATAAATAAAATAAAGCTTCCCTGATATAGATGAGTTTTTTAAAAATAACACTGTTATTTACCCTGCATCTAAATGCCACAGAAACTTTACAGGAGAGATAAATTACCTTCTAAATTATCAGCTCAACTAGTGACCCAGTGCACGGATTTGTGCACACTGAAAGGAAATTAATTAGAAGAAATATTTTAATATTGCTATTCGCCCTTTCTCTATAATAGAAGTGTCAGAGATGAAAGAAAATTAGTAAAATGTATATGATAATATGTAAATTGATTAATAAACAATAACATGCCGAGAGAAAGCAACATATAACTGATCATGTCTGAAAACGGGTTTAGGTAGAAATATTCCTACTCTGTCTAGAGTTTGTCCTTGTAATTTATTAATAGTCACTGCAAATGCTGGTTCACGGGAAACTATCTTCGAATTAATTTAAATGGGAGGCCAGTGTCAGACTGGGACAAATCAATTCTTGGAATCAGAACTATCTCTCCTTCCACAGATCCTGTTAATACTTCAGCTTCGATTATGTTAGGTTGCAATCTTTTGATAATAAATCAAGTACCATTACAAAGACCCCATTTACTATTAAGATTTCTCAGTAGCATGATGATTGCACCTACTTTCAATTTTAATTTATGACACGGCATTCCTGAAGGGGTAATACTATTAAGAAATTCGATGTGAAAATTTTCCATTCTGGCATCATCTGTCGAATCAATGGAATCATCACTCAAATAGGTGTGAAAAACTCCAGTATATCCAAAATGTCTTCATTTATTTTATGAACGTGCTCATTTTTAGGACAAAGAATCGCATGTTTAAATATATTTTTAATATTATCTATAGATATACTATTTCCAGAGGTAGCTTCAAAAATAGATCCGTTACAAATCATTTCACAGGGGATTTCAATAATATCCATTCTGAGAGCTTTATATGTATCACGCAAGCACGATTCAACATTTATTTTTTAAATTGCCAGTGCACGTCAGATGTACTGGCCAGTTGGTCAGTCAGACAGTTGGATGGACAGTTGGTCACTTAGCCTTTTATATATATAGGTGACAAGATAGATCTACTATATCTTAACAAAAAATAAAAGTTAGTATACTGAGCTAGATATCTCAAATCTACATTCTCTTGAGTACGTTGTATTAAATTATTTATAGGGTGATAGATGCACAATCTTGTGAATATATTAAAACCACTGAATTGCAGCCCTGGCCAGGTTGCTCAAGTTGGTTGAAGTGCCATCCTATAACACCAAAAGGTCTGGGGTTCGATTCACAGCCTGAGTACACAGCTAGGTTGTGGGTCCAATCCCCAGTCGGGGCACATATGGGAGGCAACCAACTGATGTTTCTCTCACACATCGGTGTTTCTTTCTCTTTCTCTATCTCTCTCTCTCTCTCTCTCTCTCTCTCTCTAAAAATCAATTTAAAAAAAATAACACCATTGAACTACACACTATAAAGAGGTGAATTTTATAGCATGGGAATTATATTTAAACTAGAGGACCGGTGCACAAAAATTTGTGCACTCGGGGGGCGGGGGGAGGGGGTTCCCCCAGCCCGGCCTGTGCCCTCTCGCAGTCTGGGACCCCTCGGGAGATAACGGCCTGCTGTCTTAGGCCTGCTCCCGGGTGGCAGAGTGCAGGCCCAATCCCTAGGTGCAGCCCCTGGTCAGGCTCAGAGCAGGGCCGATTGGGGGGTTGGGGCACCGCCCCCTGTCACACTCAAGGCAGGGTCGATGGGGAGGTTGCGGCGCCACCCCCTGTCA